GCGGAGGTGGGAACCCATTTTTTGGGTTCCCGTGTTTTTCCTCCCTTGAGCCCGCACATAAAAATCCTCATCTCTATTCCTCTGCCTCTCTCCTGCCCCCTTCCCCCGCCCCGCTCTCTCGCCCGCCCGCGGGTCGTCTTGGAGCGGTCTCCGAAGCTCCTTGAGCCGTCTTGGCGTGGTCTGGCGGAGGGGGGCGGTGGCCTCGCCGGTCGTCTCGGGATTCCCTGGAAGGGGCATCCAAAACAGGATGCCCCTCTCGCCTTCACTAGGTCTGGCCCCAGCAGCGGTCTTTTGAGTTGTGCTCGTTTTCTCGCCTTGCAACCGAATTCGGCATTAGCGGCGGCAGCCAGCCTACTGGTCGCCGAAGCACCCGTCACGGGTGCTCCTCCGAGCCTTCTTCGCGAGCTCGAAGTGCTTCTCCCGCTGCGCGACCGTGGCCAGAGCGATGAAGCGGCACTTTTCCGACAAGAGTTTGTTGTACTTAGCCTGACAATTCGGAGAAGAACGCTTGACCTTGGATGGGGGCGCACATTGAAAGCCGACGGACTTGGCCACGCCCTCCCAGGAGCGCGCCTGGGCGAGCGCCGAAGTTCGTCGGCGTTCAACGGTGCGATTGTTCCAAAGCCAAGCCTGCTTCTCAGAAAGGGCTTGCTCAAGGCGCTTGCGCTCCTTCGCCCCCTCCTGCGTGGCCGCGGCCGCGCCCTCCGCCTTGCCCTGGGCTCTGGCTCTCTGCGCCTGCCGCCTTTTTCGGCGAGGCGCCGAAAGGAAGGCGAGCGGGGCAAGAGCTGGCCCGCTGGGAAAACCGCTTCCGAGGGGTCGCGTGGAGGACCTCCAAGAGGCCCAAAGACGACCCTCGCAGGCAGCGCTTTTTTTTCAAAAGCTCGCTTCCTGGTCGTCTAGAAGGCCAGCCCTTGCTCGCTTCCTTCAGGCGCGCCGTCGTGCCTCAAGCGCGCCGTTTCCTCGACCAGGTGCTCCAGCTTGTCGTTCTTGCTCTTGGCCTTCTGGAAAGCCTTCTGGTTGTTCTCGGCTGCGCGCTGGTTGTTCTCGGCTGCGCGCTGGGCGGGGGTTCTGTTGTGCATTGCATTGTTGTTGGTGGTGTTGCTGTTGTTTGGTGGTGTGTGTGTTTAATGATGTGGTTGCGCTATTGCGCGTTGCTAATGGATTACGGTTGTCGTCCGTTGGTGACGTGTTGTATTGGGCGGTACAACGTCGTTGTTCGCTTGTTACGTTGCTGTGGCTATGCGCCTAAGGGCCAAGGAAGTGTTTTAAGTCCACCCCGACACCTGGGCCACGAAGACATCGCGACGCATGTTGAAAAGGTCCTTGCGCTGGCGCTTGACCTGTTGAGCGAGGGCGGCCTTCTCGCCCCGCAAAGCTGCGCGCGTCTTGTGATACTTCCGCAGGTGTCTCTGCGCAGCCTCCCTCAGGTACTGCTTGACCCACGGCTTGGCGATCCAGTTCTTCAAGGACTTGGCGCGCTTGCGATCACGACACCTGTCGGTTTTAGTCTTCACGGCCTTCGCTGATGCAGCTGGCATGGCGTGCTGTGGCGGCAGCGCTGGGGAGAGAAGTAGCAAACAAAAAACAACCACTCGATTCATAACAAACTACGGATGGTTGCACCCAGTTAGGCTGAGGCGGAGGAGGGAGAGGAATATGAGGATGAGGAGGCGGACAAGGAAACTGAGGAGGGAGGAGGGTGAGGGGTAGGAGGAGGATGAGAAAGAAGAGGATGAAGAGGAGTAGGAGGAGGAGGACGAGCAGGATGATGAGGATGATGAGGGTGAGAATGAAGAGGGTAAATAAGAAGATGAGGATGAGGAGGATGAGGAAGAGGAGGAGGAGGATGCAGAATACGATGCGGCTGATGAGGAAGATGAGGAATATGAGGGCGCGGAGGAAGAAGAGGATGATGAGGATAATAATGATGATGAGGATGATGACAATGATGATGACGATGAGGAAGAATAGGATGATGATGATCAGGAGGCGGACAAGTAAAAGGAGGAGGGCGGATGATGAGGGGTAGGAGTAAGAGAAGGAAGATGATGATGATGATGATGATGATGATGATGATGTGCAGGACCAGGAAAAAGAGAGTGAGAAGGATGGGTTGGAGGAGCAGGAGGAGGAGGAGGAGGAGGAGGAGCAATGAGCAATGAGCAATGCGCGGAGAGTCCAAATACGTTACTCAAGCCTCACATCATAGAAGTGGCAGCGCACTCTGCGCGACCCAACTTCGAGGGCAGCGGACTCTGCGCGACCCCCCTGGCAGGACCAGCACTGCTCCCGAACGACGGCGAATCTCGAGCACCGCGCAGGCGCGTAAGAGGATGCGGGAGGAGGACGAGGAGGAGGATCATCGGAATTATCGCGGGACGGGGTGCTGGGGGGGGGCTGAGCTATATATATATATATATATATATATATATATATATATATATTATATATATATTATACGTGAATGTATGTCTGTACGTACATATATAAATATATACATAGATGTATGTATATAGACATATCTCTAAAGGTTGCCGCCTCTGCCGCCGACAGCAATTCAGCGATCTATGCTCGATTCGTTTTTGGTTTGGGTGCCTTTCCGAGCATAGCAGGAAGTGCTCAGGCGAGACATCCAGGCCTGAGCGTCGCCCCCCTGGACTCCGAATTCTCTCTTGCACCTCGGACTTTGATCTGCAGAACCAAAGTCATACGATGGTCATGGTTCTGACGGGTCGCATCGCATTTCGGATTCCCAATGATAAGCCACTTGGGGGGTTTTCAGTTCGTTTTTCGCTGGAATCGTGGGGGGGGGGGGGGGGTGCAGTGATTCGGGTTAGCGGTCGGTCGACCGGGCGAGGGGGCATGTATTGTTCAGGAGCAGCGATAAACCCATCCCCGATGGGAAAAGGGGGCTGGACAATGAATCGCGGTTGACCATTTCCTGTCCAGAGGGCGGGTGGGATTTCGGCGAAGGGTGGGTGGCCTTTTGGAACTTGTGCTCAGACGCTCCAGGAGGCTAGCGGTGTCATTCATGGTGGAGGCGTGGTGGGGGGGTGCCGGCAAGGTTTTTGCAGGGTGAAGGTTCCTAAGAAGCTGTGCTCAGACTCTCCTGGAAGCTGGCGGTGTCAGGCATGGTGGAGGCGTTGAGGGGGGGTGCCAGCAAGGGTTTTGCAAGGTGGGTGGCCCCTAAGAATTTGTGCTCAGACGCTCCAGGAGGCTTGCGGTGTCAGGCATGGTGGAGGCGTGGTGGGGTGGTGCCGGCAAGATTTTTGCAGAGTGGGTGGCTCCCAGACTCTCCAGGAGGCTGGCAGTGGGGGCCGGCAAGGTTTTTGCAGGGTGGGTGGCCCTTGTTCAGACGCTCCAAGAAGCTGGCGGTGTCAGGCATGGTGGAGGCGTGGTGTGGGCGTGCCGGCAAAGTTTTTGCAGGGTGGGTGGCCCCTGAGAACCTGTGCTCAGACGCTCCAGGAGGTTGGCGGTGTCAGACATGGTTGATGCGTGGTGGTGGGTGTTGGCAAGGTTTTTGCAGGGTGTGTGGCCCCGAAGAACCTGTGTTCAGACGCTCCAGAAGGCTGGCGATGTCAGGCATGGTAAAGGCGTGGTGGGGTGTGTATATATACACATATATATACATACGTACATACATACATACCGCATTCCCCCAGCCCCGGGTCCCACACCTCCCCGTGACATCTCGGGGACGCTTCCGGTACAGCTTCCCCGGCCTTTCTGGGAAGCCTCCACAGCGCCCCAGGAGGGCCCAAGACGCCTCGTTGGAGCCCCCACAATGCGAAAGGATGGTCCAAGACGCTCCCAAGTCAGCCTTCCGACGGCTCTCGAGGCTCCCAGGTGACCTCCAAGAGACCGCAAGAGAGGTCCGAGAGGCGTCCTGGGACGACCCGAAGAGGCGACATCGTCAATTGCCATTTGTGCTTTCATGATTTTTGTTCGAGCTTCCAATGGTCCAAGAGCGCCGAAGAGGCTCTCAAAACCGCCCCAAGACCACCTAGGATACCCTCAGGACGGCTCCAAGACGGGCCAAGAAGGCTCCAAGAATGCAGAAGAGGCGCCCAGGACAGCCCCAGACCACCCCAGAACAGGCCCAAGATGCGCCCAAGAGCGGGAGCAGGAGGCTCCCAGAGACCTCCGAGAGGCCTCCGGGACCCCCCAGAGGCCCCCAACACACCCCCGATCCCTGAGGATTCCGACGAGGCTCCAAGAACAGCCCAACAGAGCTGCGAGAGCCGTCCCGAGAGAGCCCAAAGAGGGTAAAACCGTTGATTTCCAATGGTTTTTCCAATGTTTTTCGCCTTCTCACGTTTCCCCATTTGCAACCCTCGAAGATAGAGGAGAAAAAAAAAAGAAGAATTCCCTGCATTTTTTTTTCAAGTAGGACTCCTACTCGGAGATCCCACACATCCCCTGACATCTGGCTGGTACCGCGCCTCCCGGCTTCCTGGGGGGCCCCCAAGACGCCCAAGGATAGCCCAAGACGACCCCAGGGCGCCCCCAGAACGTAAATAACCTCCTAACACGCTCCCGCGCAGCCCGAGACACCCTTCCGACGGCTCTCCAGGCCTCCAGGAGGCCTCCAGAAAGTCCGGAAGATCCCACACCCCTGAGGGGCCCAGCTAACAAAACCCGCGAGGCACAGACAAAAAACAGCGCCGAACAGCGCCGAGGAACTGGAAAAGCATGGAAATCCTACAATTATTTTATTATCAAGTTTGGCCCCCAGTCTACTCGTGCACAACAGACCACAATTCAGACCCCTCTCACCTCCCAAGAAAGAAACCAGGAAGCCAATGAGGGCCCCAACTCGTTGAACACCTAAGAGGGAGGTAATGATTTTTGCGTTTCCACACTTCGCCTTCTATACGATTCCGAGGCTTGCGAAGGCCCTCCAGGAGGCTCCAAGGGAGTCCCTGGACACAAGAAGTGACCAAAATGAGATTACATGAGTTAGCCGATCAAGCCTAGCTAGAACTTGAGCGCGCGCGAAGCGCGCGCGATGGTTCTATATATAATATCGTCGCATGCATGCATGCATTGTTGTGTCTGCTCAATGCATTGAGGGATCTCACATAGAAGATATCCTCGACACGCGAAGCAGTTGTACAGAGCTTGCTTGCTTCTGGAAGGGGGCACCTGCCACATCTATCCGCGCGGGCATGCAGTTTAGTCTGCTCGGTTCATTGGGGGATCTCTGGCAGGGGAGAGCTTTGACACACAAAGCAGTTTTGCATAGCGTTGTTTCTGTCGGATGGGGGCGCGTGCCAAATTGATCTTCGCACGCGTACAGTTTGTCTTGCTCGGTGCATTGCGGCATCTCTCACAGGAGAGAGAGCTTTGACACGACGCGCAGCAGTTATGCAGAGCGCGGTCTTCCAAAGTCGAACCCGGCCGCGTGCCAACGAACCACAACAGAAACAAATTCGTTCGCCGCCGAAAATACAGTGGAGGCCCATACCAAGAAAGACCCTGCTTGCCTCCAGGGTGCCCTGGGTTTCTTGGGTTTCGATGGTTTTGCATCGAACATCGTGGCGCTCCCACACCAAGAATCAATGGACGTCCTGGGGTCTCAGGGTTGGGTTTCTTGTGGGAAGGTTGTCGTGGCTGAGGTCGGGAAGACACCGAGGACCTGGCCGGCCTGGGCGACAGCTGGGCGCGCGCGCGCGGCAGCACGCCCTTCCAGCGTTCGGCCCTCGGGCGGCCGGGTGCGCCGGCCCTCCGCGCGTGCGGCAAGCGCGTGTGGCCTCCGCGCGTGCGAGTCCAGAGGTGTTGGCTTCCAGCGTCCTGATGCTTCAGGAGGAAAGCTCGGCGGCGAGCGAGGGGGGGGAATTGAGAAGGAGCAGGCCTTCTCAGACGGCGGCGGGAAGTCTCGGAAGCCCTCTGGCCTTCTGGGAAGGTTTTCTGCGTCGTCGGGGAAGGCTCAGAGAGCTTCTCAGAAGGCTGGGGAACTTCGAGCCTTCTGAGAAGGCCCGCCCCTTCTCACTTCCGCCCGAGCTCGCCGCCGAAGAACAAAACAACACACACAGACATAGTTAAGCGTCGATTCAACGGGAAGTGTGGTAAATGCGGGAAGTGGAATGGGAAGACGAAAATCCAGAAAGTATGGCCGGTGTTGGGAATCCTGGGATTTGTACCTACTACGGGGAGAGCACCAGGGAGGGGCCTTCTGCGGTCATTCTTGGGGCTCTGTTCGGCCATTCGGGCCTTCTTGGGGGCCTTTGGGGCTCTCTTTGGCCACCTCGGGAATCGCTTGGGCCGTCGTGGAGTCCTCTCTCGAGTTGTCTGGTGCCTTCGGAGGCTGTCTTGGATCTTATCCTCGGGGACCTCTTGGAGCTCACTTAGGTCCGTCTTGAGACGCTTGGGCCGTCTTGGATCCAGCTTGGCCCTTCTTGTTGTTGTCCAGGGGCCATATTTGGCCGTCTTGGGGCGATCGGGCCGTCTTGAGCTTTCGGATGCTCGAACAAATGATAACTTGGGGCATCTGGCCATCTTGGGCCGTCGCGGTGTTGGATTCCAGGGTGGCCTACGGGTTGGGCTGGAGGCCAGTTACATGTGGGTGGCGGGGCAACACATAAATTATAAACATCTGGCATGCCAACACCCTTGTGACAATACGGGGGCGGAAGATCGAAGACCCCTACGGCGAGTCACCGCCGCACCATGCCTTTCTGGGAACGCCTATGTGGCCAAACGGTGGGCTTCAGTTTGGCCATGTTTTTGGACAGTGTGTTCCCCAACCGGCGTGGCCATCGGGGGCCATCACGGGGCCATTTTGGCCGTCGCGGAGGCCGTAGTGGACCATTTTGATGCCATACGTTGCCGTATTGGCCGACTTGGAGGCCCGCCGCCCGCGGCCAGGACGAAGGTGAGCTCGGCGCGGCCCCCCATTGGGGGGAAGAGGCTTCCTGAGTAAGCAACCAGATCGCGTTGATTGGCATTGCCTGGCACTGCTTCGCTTGGCATTCCTTCGCACTGCCTGGCATTGCTTGGCATAGCCAGGCATTGCCTGGCGGTGCCTGGTATTGCCTGGCAGTGCCTGGCATTGCCTAGCACTGCTTTGCATTGTTGTCTTGCTGTGCGTTGCTTGGCATTGGTTTGCGTGACTTTGCGTAGCACATATCTGTGTATCATTTCATTGCTTGGCATTTCCTGGCATTGCCTGGCAGTGCTGGGTGCATTGCCTGGTTTTGCATTGCATTGCGTGGCATTGTCTGGCACTGCTCGGCATTTCCTGGCGTTGTATGGCGTTCTATTGCGTTGCCTCACGTTGCTTTGCATTGCTTGGCATTGCTTGGTATTGCTTAGCATTGCTCGGCAGTGATTGGCGTTAAGTTGCGTTGCTTGGCATTGCTTGACATTGCTCGGCATCTCCCATATCGAGAGATCCGTGAAGGCATGCATGTTTGATTCCTGCGCCTGCTGATCAAGCTTACCCGCCTGGAAATCGTTTCTGCATGGGCTGGTGGGAATGCGCTGCGCGTCAAGAATTACAATCACATTGAGCTCGCTTGAAGGGGTCTCGCAGAGCCGTTTCTTGAGGCTTCACGAAGGGAGTCCGAGTAAATAGTCTCGCATCGCCGATGCATCGGCGGGCGACGTATCGGCAGCCTTGGAGGCCCGGAGTCTTGCAGCCTTGTTGAGTTGGGACATCTCCGCGCGCTCTGGGGCCTCTTGGGAGGCGGTTTCGGGGCGTGCGTGGGCCGTCGCGGGCTCCCCTGGACGCCTCCTGGGGCCCTCTCGGGACAGTCCTGGGCCATCTTGGGGCCCTTTTTGGGCCAGGCGGCCACAATGGGGCCGAAGTAGATGGGGTCAGTGGGTCGCGCCGCATCACCGATGCATCGGCGGTGCTGCTCGACGTGGAGCCGTCTTGGGCAGTCTTGGGACCCGCCATCTTTTGGGCCGCTTGGGCCGCCTTCGAGCGATCTTGGGGGTCTGTTGGGTTGGGCCGTCTTGGACACTGCTAAGTCCGAAAAGGCGAGAATGTTGAGATCCCTCGAAAACCTCAGGAAGATCAAGTAGTCTGCCCTCTTCGGAGCATCGTGAAAGCTGTCCAACAATCTAGGAGTGTTGGACAATGACAATTTGGAACCCTTGGGCCGTCCCCGAGGGCTCCAAGACGACCCCAGAGCCCAGAGGCCCCCCTCTGTCTCGGCACGCTCTTCCCTCCCCTGGCATGGCGCAGGGCGCCCGTGCAGCGCGGCCCGCGCCACCCCGGCAACACCCGCCATCCTGCGGGGCAGGCCAGTGCTCAGCCGGGCGGTTCCGTCGCCCCTGGCGCGGCTGTGGAGCGGCTCGGCCCCGCGGCCCGCCCCCTCCTCCACAACCAAAATTATCCGGCGAAGGGCCCAACGATATGCAGTTGAGAGTACCACAGCTTTGGGTATCGTCTTCGGTGGCGCTCCCTATAGGGTCACGAACCGTGCGAGGGGGGTGCCGAAATTGGTGGTTGGACTGAGGCCTTCGGTGGAGCTCCCTATGGGTCTACGAAGCGTGTGAGGGGGTGCGCCGAAATACGCCACTGGAGCCTTCGGTGGAGCTCCCCATGGACCCAGGAAACGTGTGAAGGGTGTGCGGACTGGGTAATTAGCGGGGACGCATGTGGACACCGCCACTGGGGCCTTCGGTGAGCTCCCTATGGGGGCACTAAGCGTGTGAGGAGTGTGTGCCGAACTAGGTAGCAGGGACGCATGCGGGCGACACTATTTGGGCCTCGGGTGCAGCTCCCCACTGAGCCGCGAAAACGTGCGAGGGGTGTGCCGATATGTGAGGCGAGGAGGAGGAGGAGGAGGAGGGAGAGGAGAGGAGAGGAGAGGAGAGGAGAGGAGAGGAGAGGAGAGGAGAGGAGAGGAGAGGAGAGGAGAGGAGAGGAGAGGAGAGGAGAGGAGAGGAGAAGAGAAGAGAGGAGAGGAGAGGAGAGGAGAGGAGAAGAGAAGAGAGGAGGGGAGAGGAGAGGACAGGAGAGGAGAGCAGAGGGACACGGGGCTACGTCTGTTCTTCCCGAACTCCGCTCCCAAGCCGTCCAGAAAAGCCGTGCGGAACACCACCCCAGCAACGTGCAAGAGGTCCAGCAATTGGGGGTCGGGGTCCCTGAAAGAAGATTGCGATATTCAGCATCGAGAATTCGAAAGGATTTGAGGACACTCCACGCAGTGCCTGCGGCACGGTGGCGCATGTACGCCAGTCACATGCGAGTCACGGTCAGATTATTCCGGTCAAAGGTTTTTTCAGACCTGTCGCAGTCGTTTGGGGCGCAGCTCTCGAATTCGCGGCCGTTTGTACTGACAGCCCAAAGCTGTTCCAGCGCATTGGCGACGAGAATTTCGGAGACGCTATCGTCGTTGAGTAAATCCCTTGCGGCCATCCTCCTTGTTTTTCCTCCCTTCCCCCTTCCCCCTCCCCATCCCTCCCTCCCCCATTGCCCGCTCCTCCCTCACCCATCTTCCTGAAGCAATTCCACCTCTCCTTTCCTCCCCCGTGCATCCATCCTCTCCTTTCTCACTACTCCGCGGTTTGAAAAGTCGCATCGCCTGAAACAGTTCCACCCGAAGGGCAGCTGGCGGCTGGAGATGCGTGGAGGGTGGGCGGCGCCATTCTCAGCGGCTGACTGCGTTAGTGCGGCATGGGACGTGATTAGGCGCCATATATTCAAGACGCTTCGCGTTCACCGCCCGCCCATTCCAGTTCTCGCCGGACGAGGCGAAGACGGCTCCATGACGGGATAAACATAGGCAGGAATTCATACAAGTCGTGTGCTTGGTTGTCCTTGTCCCGTGTTCTCTCTTCCTATGCTATCGCCTACTATGTTCAGGAATGCCTCGTGGCTGTTCGACAGTAGGTTTGTCGTACTTGCTACTGTTAGTGGTGGTGGTGCTGCGGCTGGTACTGCTGCTGGTGTTGCTGTTGTCGCTCCTACTGGTGGTACGGTGCAGTGCGGGTGCTGCTGCTACTGCTGTTGTTCCTACTTCTGCTGCTGCTGCTGGCGCTGCTGGCGCTGCTGCTCATGGTGCCGGTGTTAGTGCTGCTGCTTGTGGTGCCGCTGCTGTTGTCAGTGGTGGTGGTGGTGCTGCTGCTGCTGGTGGTGCTGGTCGCAGTGGTGGTGCTGCCGCTGCTGGTGGTGCTTCTGCTGTTGACGTTGCTCTCTGGGGGGCCTGTTGGGGTGCTGCTGAGGCTCCGTCGTTGACCTCTTGGGGCTCCTCTGAATGGTTCGGGGTCCTCTTGGTGCTCTTTCGGGAAGCCTGGGGGTCTTTGAGCTCTCCTGGGGCTCTCTTGGGGGCTCTTTGGAGCCTCGGAGGAGGAGCTCTTGGGGTTTCTTTGGAGGCCATCGGTCACACGAGGGGCGGATCCCCGATTGACGCCCTCTTCTCTGGAGCCGTCAAAGTGGCCTTTTGGAGCCCTCTTGGGCCGATGTTTGGCCGCCCTTGGGCGTTCTTGGGGCTGTCTTGAGGGCTCTTTGGGCTCCTCTTGAGCTTCCCGCATGCTGCTGGGGTCTTGTTGGTCCGCAGCCGCACGGCTCAGCATGCAGAGCCGAGCGCATGGGCTTCCACGCAGGCCCTTGCGAGTGCGTCGGGTCCATGGCCAGCAATGACGCAGACTAATAGGTGATGTTGGCGGTGCTCGTATTCGCGGCGGCGGTGGAGTATTGCAGGTACAGCACGTGGGAGATTTCCGCAGAGCTATCCGCATTTTCCTTGTTCCGCCGATCCCCACCGCGGCTGGTGAGGACACTTGGCGCGGAGCGCTCACAGAGGGCGACGGTGCCTGCGGCTTGCACGCACTTTTCGGGTCTCCGTCATCCAGCGGGTCTTTGTACTGCTGCGATGCACGCGCCCGTTTGCTCCAGGAGTTGCCTGTCGCCTGGGATGATGTGTTGGCAATAGGGCGGCTGGACGTGCAGGATGCCGCGCACAGTGGTTTTCAGGAGCTCTGGGACGTCATGCGGGCGCATATTGAGTCTGACAGCGAGGGTCATGGCAGCGTGGAGGGCTCGTTGTTGACGGAGCACGTGCACGTCGATATTTACGAGTGCGTTGTCGACGACGTCGTGCGAGGGAAACTAGAGCAGGCTTCTGCGGATCGCATATCGGAGGAGTTGCGCGCATGGGCTCGGCGCTTCTTCCACAAGGACCAGGAAGAGAACGTCGCGAGGCCGTCGGTCGTTATGTTGGGCTACCTCCCGGACGCCAGCGTGGATATATTGTCCAGTGGTTCTGGAGGTAGTCGCGGGAGTTGGTGCGATTTGCGTCCTGGAGACTTGCGCTTATCAGCGCCGGCGCCGGGGAAAGAGTCCATTACCCGGTGCGGCGCCCTTTTCGATCAGAGTCCTTTGTGCGACAATATACGGCAGGCGTTTTTCTTGAATGCGAAGTTCAATGGGCGCGGCACGGACAGGGACGAGATGTTTCTGTGCATTGATCGCCTGGCAGAGCACCTGGAGGAGCAGGGCGATCTCGAGAGCGGCACAGTTCTCAGGAGAGGTGGTGAGCTGTGGCGAGCGAGGTATGCAGCTTTAGCTGGTGGGCAGAGGTCATGCTCCTCGTTCTCCCCGGAGGTGGCGCGGGCAGCCTTCAGTTGCTGCCTGGGGGAAGAGCGGTGCTACCTCAGCGTTGTAGACATGAGATTCGTGGCTGTTTATTTTGGCTTATCTTTGCGCATGCTCTTGCGGATGGGGGGCGCTTTCTTCGAACGGCTGGTGTACATGCACTCGGAGTCTACAGGCGAAATCGTCGTTCAATTGGAGGAAGGCGGCGAGTCGGCTAGAGGGAACAATTTTTCCCGAGTGTGCAAGGAGTCTGCATGGGTGCTCATGGAGCATCGCGCGGCGTTGGAAACGGATGTCGACGCCGTGGGCGATGCCGGGTGTTCTTCGACGACATCCCGTGGCGGTTCTTGGCCAGAGTTGTCGGAAAGCGAGGTCTCGGGCGAACGGGGCGATGATCCAGCGGGAGATGGCTGGGAGCGCGGGCTTGCGGTTGCGTCCTCGGAGGATCTGGCTGTCGGTCACGGAGACGAGCAGGAGAATTGTTCAGCGGCTTCCGTGAGCGATAAGGGGGCGAACTCGGACATGGAACACGCAGCTCTGGATCCGCAGCGCACGGAGCTGACGCGGGAAGACCGCGAGTTAGCACTCGTAGAGCACGTCGCCAACCAGTTTCGTGAGCAGCCCTTCTTACCGCCGGATTTGGAAGATCCGCTTTTGGAACGCCCGTGTACAGACGTGAGATCGGGCGCGAAGTTGCCGCTGATACATCGCTTTCCGCGGGCGCGGACGAATTGAGCACCGGGCCATAGAAGAGCGCCTTGCAGGGCATTTGCGGTTGCATCACGCCGCTGCGTTGGATCTTCCAGAGGAGCTTACTGCTGGCACCGATGCTAAGTCGACGGGCGACCTGATGGCGCATGACACCGCTGCTGTCGCTGAAAAAGCTCGGGAAAGCATGCCGTTGCTAGGGGCGTCCGTCGATCGGCGAGTGTTTCAGATGTTGACCCGCGTTGCGGACAGTACTCAGGCATGCTCTCTTGTCTGCTTTGCTTGCGCGCAAGTTCGCGCTCGCGTGCGTTGCTGGACCTCGGAGCGGAAAGCGGATATCAACTGGGTGCGAGGGGCTTAGCTTGAGGAATGGGAAGCACAAGAACGAGAACTTGGTTCAGAGGCGAAGCTTACGAGTACTATGTGCGCACTTACGGTGCACCTGGCGGAGATGGGCGAGGCCGGCAGCGGACCGCGGAGGAGGGCGCCGCGCGGCGCGCGCACGAGTGGCAACGAGTGTTCTTGTTCATTGCACTTGGGAAGCCGAAGATGGATATCATAGGTTGTCCGGAAGATTTAACAAAGGGAGAGTTGTGCAATCGTGTGGGGGGGGGGGGGGGGCGTGGAGATGTGCAAACATTGTTGTTTTTCTCTGTGCGGAGAGTGTCTACGGGTCATCTGGGGCGAAGGAGACGCGCATACCGATGGGCCTTGCGAATGGCAACTTTCGGGGGTACGGCACAGAGATATTACGCAAATACAATGTGCGATGGATCGAGGCGGCGATCGCGAGCCCATGCTGGACCAATATGATTTGCTTGCACGTTGAAGGCGGCTATGGGCATCTCATGAATGAGGAGCTGCAAGATCAGAAGTACCGAAATATTGTGAAAGGTGGCGCGTGCAGCTTCCAAATCCCTCGGGAAGACATCCTTTCCGATCTACAACGGAATTGCGATGATGCAGAGCTGGCGTCGCTGCCAAGAAAGACTGATACTTTGAGGTATCTCTTGCGCGCCCACCTGAACGTCAGCGGTGTGAGCTACGCCAGGCATCTGCGTAAACATATCTGCGTGAGGCCGTTTGTTGT